AGTTTTTAGTAAATGTTGACTGTTATTATTAAGCACTTAGTAAGTCCTGTACATGCATTATCTCATTTAATCCCCACTACAACCACATGAACTAAACATTTTAGCTCCCTTTATAAAGAGATGAAAAACCTGAGATTTGAAGAGGTTAGGCAATAAACCCAAGGTCAAAGAGCAAAGAAGCCCAAACTCAAAAAAGGTAAGGCAGGATTCTGGTCCTTACATACTGTAATCTGACTCCAGAACCCATGCTCCGAACCACTGTACTATACTACCTCCTCCTAGGTGCTCTGTTATTGTTGTTATTGAGGTTGTTAAATCGTATTCAAAAACTTACAACTTCTAGTTTGGCCAAAATAGGCATCCTCAGAATAAAAATTAAAATATATTTTCTAAAAAAATTAAATCTCTTAAGTAAGAAGCTTATAAAATTAAGGGCTGTAACAGACCTCAATAACAATCTAGTGTTTTCCCTGCTTTTAGAGGTTTATAATCAATAGACTTCTGTAGAAGTCCAATATATAAACAGATAAAGCAGAGAGGCTCTGGTTGAAGCAAGAGAGAGGAGCTTGGAACGCCACCCATGCAAACTTAGTCTCAACCTGGGACTCCGAGGAACAAATCTGAAGGCCACTGAGCTAATCCAAAGCCCTCATTTATAGAGAAGAAACATGACACCCCGGAAGCTTAAGTCATTTTCCAGAGTTACAGTAACATCTCAATTAACTTAACACTACTTTTGTTGAAATTTACACTAGTGACTCTCTCGGGAAATAGGAGATACATGTTCATCAACTCTCCAGAGTGTTTTCAAATATTTTATATTTGGAAAATTGAAAAACAACATATTTTTCATGCTAAAATACAGAAAGAACATGAGATTTTCTAAAAACTATAGAGACAATAATTTTAAAAATTAAGAAACACTAATTCATACAGCCACTGCTCACAAATAAACTTATTTTAACTGAGTCCACGTACCTTCTTTCCCAGTGCCATGTCCAGTGTCAAATCAAGAAAAACACCTTGCTTTGGATAAGTGTAGTCAAGAATTTGAAATTTCTTAAGTAAGTGAATCGCTTTCTCCACGTCATATATCTGCCTTGGGTACAACCGCTTTAAATAGACATCATCCTCAGGTGTACCTTCCATGTACCGGTATGACTTTATCTTCTCTATGTCATCTTTTTTTTCATCTGGTGCTTTGTCTTTAGCACTTTTTTTTGTTTTCTTAGCAGGCCTTAAAAAAGATAAATTCAAGATCAGTTATATCAACATGTATTCTGAGACTTTTTTAAAAAAGCTAATGTACATAAGGTAGAGAAAAAATTAAAACTTTTTATTTTAATTCAAAAGCATAGACTGCTTTACAGTTTTTCTAATTCAACAAATATTAAGTGAACTTTTGTACCGTTTGCAGTCATGAATAAATGGAATAAGGCACTGATGCTAATACAATGTGGTAAATACTATGAGAGCATTATCAAAACCTTACAGAAAAGACACAATTCAGTGCAGGAGGCTAGAGAAAAGTTCTGGAAGAAATGACCTCAAAGTCAATTCTTGAAGGATAAGGAAGCATTAACCTAGGTATATACCCAAAAAAAGTGAAAACATATGTCCATACAAAAACTTGTACACAAATGTTCACAGAAGCATTATTCATAATAGCCAAAAAGTAGAAACAACCCAAATGTCCATCAACTGATGAATGGATACATAAAATGTGGTATATCCTTACAATGAATATTAGCAATAAAAAGGAATGATATACTGATACATGTTACAACATACATAAACCCTGAGTGAAAGCAGCCAGTCACAAAAGATCAGGTATGTTTCCATTTATACAAAATAACAATGGTCAAGTCTACAGAGACTGAAAGTAGACTTAGCAGTTGTCTAGGGCTGAGAGGGGAGGCTGAGGGAATGGGGAGTGACGGCTGATGGGCATGGGGGTTTTTTGGGAGGGCAGCGAAAATGTTCTAAAATTGGCCATAGTTTGCTGACTCCAAAAATAAAAGGGTAAAGTAGAGGCAGGCAAGAGTGGAAGATGAGGCTGGAAAATCTAGATCACAGAGGGCCTTCTCTAGAGGCAATGAGCAGTCAGTGAGCAGGAGTAACACCTGTATTTTAGGTAGAGTGTCCTGGCTACGACATAAGGGATCAATCTGAAGGAAGCAGGATTGGAGACAGTCAAGAGACTATTCCCTCCCTTTCTTCTCAAGAAGATGCGAGAACCTGAACCAGAGCAGTGATGGTAATAGGGCTGGAAAAGATGATGGATTGGAGAAATATTTACATGGTGAATATTGAAGACAGGGAAAGGAGAAAGAAAAGACTCTAAAATACTTCTTAGGTTTCTGGCTTGAGTGACTAGGCATAGAGCAGTATGATTAAGACCGGAAATAAAGAAAGCACAACAGGTTTCTGGTGAAGAAGGTAGTCACAGACGTGAGTGCAGTTTGGGGTACACAGAGCTTGCATGTGGGGTAGATTGTATCACTGGTCTCAATTCTTCACCCCTTCTCCGTTCAAGCCCCTTTGCTAAGCGACTTTGCACTTCCTCCCACTAAAAAGTATATTTCCCAGCCCCTTGATTTGGCCAAGTGACTAGTTTTGGCTGACAGAATAAAGCAGAAGTGACAGTTTCCCTACTCTAAGCTTAGGCCATAAGAAGTTTCATCTATTTCCGCTTTTATGTTTTTATTTCTGCCATTTTCATTAGAAGAACACACCTGGGCTAGGCCAAAGGCAGGAGGGAGGATAAGAGACACGTGGAACAGAGCTGCCTCCACAGAGCCCCAGGCTAGTATACATTAGACAATTCCCAGCTGACCTCTAAACTCATAGATGCCTTGTAAGCCCAGCCAAGATCATCAGAGACATCCACCTGAACCCAGCCTAGGTCAGCGACCCACAGATGTGCAGGCAATGATAAATAACTGTGAAGTGGTTTGTTACAGCAAAAGCTAACGAGGTGCTTACAAAATATCTAAGAAAATACATTCAACAGGTAATTGCAGGTAAGAGTTTGAAGCTAAGAAAAAAAGAATTGTAAGTTATATAATTTTCTCAGCATTAATTCAAATCATAGCTGTAGTATTAAAACCATAAAAGTTTTAAATTCGTAAAATAGTATTCTGGAAAGATGTTTGAGTTCTATGGCAAGTGGAATAATGGCCCTCAAAGACATCCATGTCCTAATCCCCAGAACCTGTGCATATGTTACTTTACACGGGAAAAAGGACTTTGCAGATGTGATTAAGGTTAAAGATATCAGGATGGAGAAATTATCCCCAGATTATCTATGTGGGCCCAA